GGGTCGAGAACTCCAGATGGGGCCGAGAGAACAAAGATGGGGTCGAAAGCGCTGGAGAGGGTCGAGAGCTCTCAGGCCCGTGCAAGCACGGAATACGCAGTCGAGACCCCGGCCGCCAGCTGCGTCACCCTGCGAACGTCCCTGCGCCGTGTCAGCTCATTGCGCCACTGCCGACCACGCCAGCCCCGGCCGAAAACAGCCGCAAGGGACTGGCCCCCCCACTCGCCTGTACGGGGAGGGGGTATCACTGCAAGAGGAAGAGGTGAAGAAATTGCTGGCGATGGTAGACAATGAGCGCCGATGTTGGCGATGGCGCCCTGCTGGGCGCGGCCGCCCTGCCGGGCGGCCCGCGAGGGGGCTTGCGCGCGACCCGCGCGCCTGGCCACCAGCGGTGGCAAGCAGCTCGCACACGGAGCTACTAGCGGCGCCCGTGGGCCCGTGGTCCAGCACAGGCGCGTAGCCTGCGTGCGGTCGCGTGGCCCAGCAATGCCGCGTAGTCAGCGTGCGGGCCGACGCATGGGGGGGGGTCCACTTTTTGGATCCCCCTTCGACCTGCCCCGACAGCCGCAATCCTGGTAACCAGAAAATATGATTACCTGCTTTCCTGGCGCCGCGATGCAGCAGTGGCGCCGCTGAGTGCCTTCCAAATGCTTGTGGGCGCCGCGCCCGCCATGGCGGTTCGGCCCTGCGCCGATCGGCGCACATGCCCGGAGTACTCTGGAGTGCTCCCCGCGGCCGACAACCTCCCCAACAGGGGGGTCCAAAATAGGATCCCCCTCGCTCCGCAGCCGCAGGCGGCACTACTCGGGTAGCAGGTCACCCAATTGCTGAGACCTCCCCGCGCTGGTACTGCGAACGGGCGCGTAGCCCAGCAAATGCGCGTAGCTTGCGAACGGGCGCGTAGCCCCGCAAAGGCGCGAAGCCTGCGAACGGGCGCGTGGCCCAGCCAAGGCGCGTGGCCTGCGGACGGGCGCATGGCCCGGCAAAGGCGTGTAGCCTGCGAACGGGCGCGTAGCCCAGCAAATGCGCGTAGCCTGCAAACGGGCGCGTAGCCCAGCAAAGGCGCGCAGGCTGCGAACGGGCGCGTAGCCTAGCAAAGGCACGTAGTCTGCGAACGGGCGCGTAGCCCAGCAAAGGCGCGTAGCCTGCGAACGGGCGCGTAGCCCAGCAAAGGCGCGTGGCCTGCGAACGGGCGCGTAGCCCAGCAAAGGCGCGTAGCCTGCGAACGGGCGCGTGGCCCAGCAAAGGCGCGTAGCCTGCGAACGGGCGCGTAGCCCAGCAAAGGCGCGTAGCCTGCGAACGGGCGCGTAGCCTGCGGACGGGCGCTTGTCCTGGCCCAGACCGCTCGTCCTGGCCCAGACCGCGGGGCCCTTCAAGTGCCCCGCTTGTCCTGGCCCAAACCGCGAGGCCAGAGCAGGGCCCCAGCTTGGGGCGGGAACTTGATACCCCGCCTCCGCGCCAGGCGGAAGCCGTTACAAAACGAGCCCCTTAGGGCCACTTCGAGCCGGATACTTGCTACCCCGCCTCCGCGCCAGGCGGGCACCTGAAGCCTCCGCGCCAAGCGGAGTGTGGAACTCTGCGAGACGCTTGCCCCTGCGGAAAGAGAATCCGCCGCTCCCGTGGGGGCCCCCAAAGCCATGGGGGCCCCCTGGCGCACCGAAGCGCGCGAAGCCCATGAATCAGAAGGTACGCGAATCGAAGAACCCCGTCTCAATTGCAGATGTTTCTCCCCTGCGAAACCTCCGATTTAGGGGGTATGAGAATTTGGACACCGCCAGCGCGCTGTACAAGCACATTGCCAAAGAGGGGGCGGCCCGCCGTCGACAGATGTTTCGGGCGACCTCGACCCGCTCGCGAAAGACACGATCCAGCGACTCATTCTTGACAGCTGGGCCGACCCACACCCGTAGATATTCTGCCGACAGCGCAATCGGAACAGAGGACCAGCGGGGTGCAAGCCGAGCGATCAGGGCCGAGAGTCGGTCACGAAACTCGCTGGACAATTCAGCTTCGAGCGGGATTATGCGGCATTTCTGCATTTTTAATTTGAGGCCTGCTGAACAGTCAGCAGCATAAAAATAAACCACCTTGCACCGATGGGGGCGCCTTTATTGAAGAAGGGGCCAACCCAGCGTCATCCGCGCGCGCGCCCGACTCCGACCCGGGGTTCTTGTCAAGGCGCCCCCTGAAGTCCCGCAGAAAGGGGTCCATGGCAATGGCCCAGGCCGATCCACTAAAGGACCCCCCCTTGCATGACCCCAGACATGATGAAGCCAAAGGCGAGGAAGGAGCCAAGGAGGGGAACAGGGGCATGGGGCGAAAGTGCAGGTAGCCTGCGCGAGCATTATCACGCTGATGGGCACGTTGACAGCGCGAAGGACTCCCCAGATAAAGAGGTGACAGAGGGAGGGAAAGGCGCTGCCGAAGTCGAGGAGGAGGAGAGGATGTCTCTCTAATGCTTGTTCTGGCATGTCCAGCACTCTAGCAGTGGTGTCCAGCAGACTGATGTTATTCAAAAAATGTCTGCCTACTTGAAAACCCCGCTTGTCGGGCTGTGCATTCTGGCGAATCGCGTGCATCGCCACATCGTTGCAAGAGGCCGAGATTATCTTCGCGCCCGAATTCTTCAGGGCGAGCGGGCGCGTGGAGGCAGGCTCCCGCACCGCGCGACTGCAGTCGTCTTCGCGCTTTCCATTGGGCGCAAAGATGAGGAGATGGCCATTAAATCCCACCGGCGGTGGGCGGCCTGAAAAAAGCTCGAACATCAGATCGCGCCGGATTTCTGCAGAGAGCGGGTGGCGCCACGCAGCGCACGGCAGACCATCGGGCCCAGGGGCCGCAGGGGGAGCCTTGCGGATCGAGGCGCGAATCTTAGCGACAGATGGGGTCGAGACCTCACTCCAATCGCACTGCCGAGCGTGCTTCTCTAAATACCTACGCGCATGCTGAAGAGGGGCCCCTTTTCCAGTTGAAGACGGGGGGCCAGTGCTGATGCAGCGCTGAAGCCGCTTCCCTAGGCTCAGAGACCGACTGCCCCCCAGGGGTGGTGAGAGCCTGCAGGGGGGGGCGTTTTCCGATTGGGCGACCAGAGCTTGCCGCGACGGCGCCGAGCGTGCATGTGCGCTCGTAGCCGCTTCCTCTCTCGCCAGGCCTCAGAGCCCTTTAAAGCAGTCTCTGCTCGAGCCAACCTGTTTGAAAGCAACTGCTGCTGAAGGCCCCCATGCCCGCGAAAGAACTCGACGGCCGACCTCAACGACGCCCCCCCTTCAGGCAGCAGCTGCAGGTGGTCAGCGGCGACAGGGGCCGCGGCAAGGAGACGAGTG